TATATATAAATAAACAATTAAAGTTCTCTGCTACATTTAGGTAGGTACTGCTTTTTATAAAGATTAAATCTAATTTAATGGTTTTTTCAATTTATCCAGGTTTGTGGAAAAAGTTTCATCTGTTTCGCTATACAAAATTGTTCTTTCAGTTTAAAGTAAAAAAAACATGGTTAAAAGGAGGATATGAAATTAATGTAGTGAAGCCTTCTTGTTTGAACTAAAACACACTTTCTAAAATAAAGTCTACTTAATAATTGTTCTATGAAAGCGCAAATTTGATCGTTTTTCATGTGTTGGGCCTTTCGACTTGTCCTTTCTTTTGATCTAATTGGAAAACATTGGAAAAATACGATCTTTCGCATGATTTCAGAATGAAAAAGTTATTTAATTTTCCTCCGCACACAAAAGAGTTTACACTCATCTGATTACGACGAAGAAATTCTTAACATGAGGAAAATGGGTATCGCATACAAACCACAAATACTGTGGATTCAAAAGACATTTTCCGGCAGATGCCTTGAAAAGGCGGCAACCGTCGAGAAAGTCTAAAAAACCGGGAAAGTTGAAAAACAAATTAGCATTTTACTACGACAATTACTTAATGGTTCCACAAAAAATCGATAAATTACACGAGAAGAAACGAAAAACAGTTATGAATGCCGAGGTGTTTGCAATATGGACAGTGGAACACGCAACAACTTAGCTCCCAAAGTGTTGCAGGAAAAATTCGGTTTTCCGGGAATTTATTTGAGAAGCTTGTGATTGACAGTCTGCAGTTTGAAGATCTTGGACAGTTTAAATGTGTTTTGTATGCGTAAGAGGTTTTTTGCAAAATGCAGATCACGGAAAAAATAGTCACCAGAACAAGAATTCACTTATTAATAAATTGAAGCAAAGTTGCAACAAAATGCAAAAGAAAAGTCGGTTTCTTTTGGTTGCCATCACTTCCTAAAAAGGCCATTTATTTCTGTCTAGAATGATGTACAAATGAGCATTCTTGCTCCTTTTGCCTTCGAGAAATGAGCAAAAACAGGATGGAAAACATGGAATTTTGGCATAATTTTGCACCTAAGTGTCTGATATTGAAATTTCGCTTTCTGGGTCAAAACTGCTCGAATTTCCTCACTCATGTTATTACGACTGAATCGACTTTTCAATTCTCTATCCAACGATGCCAAAACGAATTCTGTGGTTCGAATGGTTCTTGAGAAACCTCGAAAAAAGCAGCGTCATGTTCAAGTGGATTTTGCAACTAAAAAAAAACCACGCAAACCTAAAACTTCTTGAATTCAAGCATTTTTTGAGAAAACTGCCAACATTTCCTTATCGATGGTTCACTTTCTAAGAAGGCCATTTATTTCTCTCTAG